AGCGGCCGAGACAGAGCAGCCACAGGGAAGAACCAAGACATGGCACGTCTGGAATTCTCGAGACTTGGAACCAGGCTTCCGAAGAAGATCAGTTTCTTCTCCCAGCTTTGAAATTGAGATAAATTTATCCTGGCATTGAAGCCCCGTGGCCAAGCAAGCAGCTCCAGCAGCAGGGCAGGCTGCGGAAGGGAAGGTGTCACTCGTTCGCGGAGCAGGGGAAGAGCTTCTGCTGGCTCCAGCTTCTCCTAGGAGCACAGCTCTGGCTTGCGGGCCTTGCTGCACCCCTTTCGGCAGTGCTTTTAATTTGCCTTAGTTCAGCACCTGCAATTCATTTTAACTGAAGTACCATTAACCAGTTCCAGCCTGTTATGCCTCAGTTCAGGAAGAGCACCGCCGTTGAACAGCGAACGGTGCCTGGGTCATCAAAAAGCAGCATTCTGGAGGTTTAAAACGCTTCAGTTACGGGAGCTTGAAGAGGTAATGCTCCCAAGAGTTAGCGCTCAAACACCTTGAAAAGTTAGAAGGGTACTCCAGAGCAACTGGACCACCAGGCTCCCAGCACTTAGGTTACACGAGAAAAGTTCCTGGACCTCCAGCTCTCAGCATTCTCTGCTTCAAAACCTAAGACTTCATTCTCCTCTCAGTCCAGCCGCATAAAGCCATCTGCCTACAGAAGCTGGAATTTATCCAAATTAGTCCTTTCTAGTGCCTGAGTGACACAATCAAGCTTCTGCAGTGACCAAAATGCTCTCAGGCACACTGCTGTTTTTCAGCAATGCTGGGTTTTGGACATTTTGAGGAACACAAATTTCTTTAATGCCATGTTACAGGTTTGACAAGCGTTAGAAACTGCCACAAGACCATCATGTAACCAAGAAAGGTTTTATTGTTTTTGCCAGTAGCCTTGTTAATTGCACAAAAAAAAACCAAAAAAAAAAAACCAAAACCCTTTGTTTTGCCATTTAAACATTTTCACACATCCTATTCTGAGTGACAAACGTTAATCAAAAAGAAGGCAAAAAAAATTCACAACCTTAATTAACTATAGGACCTATAATTGAGAAGAAACTGCTTTTCTTACAAACTTTTCACAAGTGTCACATTTTCTCTTTAAAATGTAGGGAGTCAAAAAAAAAAAAAAAAGCAAATTGCTAAAACAGAAATCCTTATAAAAAGGAACTTTACAGAACTGTCAACAATATTAAGACAACATTGACTAGCCAGTTTTATTAGAGCAACGCTCAATCCACAGCTTCCCCCCTTCCCCTCCCCCAAATCTCAGGCCTAGGAACAGATTTAGATCCATGTTCAGAGGCTACAGACTTAAAAACAAGAATATGAGGGAGACCGACACGAGTCAGTCTCCAACAGCATCTGAAAGAGGCTGTTTTTCACCATTTCCATCCCTCCTCCTCACTTCACAACCACTTAAGAGCTCACGGTCTTCTTCTGCTCCTCCCTGGCACATCTGTGACTGCACAGCTGTCTGGGCAGCACTGCACCCTCCCACCACCCTGCACCCACTGGCCTTCACCAGAAAGCTGCACCCAGACGTTCCCAGGATAAATTACAGTGTTTAACTACTCAGCACCTGCCTCTCCCACATAAATAACCATAAATCTGCATTTCAAGTACAGTATTTATCTTCCTGGAAAAAACAAACCCGCAGGTGCGCGTTTCCCGGGGAGTGGTTCCCCCTCACAAATAGTTCTTTGAATTTGCTATGAAATTCACCGCAAGGACTTGACAGCTCCATTCATATTCTCACTCTATCCATAGGCAATGTGAAGTAAAAAGGGAGGGAGATCCCACATTACCTTTGTTGAGACCCATTCACCTTCGCTCTGGCCCAAGAGACCTCTGCAGGGACAGGTCAGGGACACTGCTGCATGGGCTCAGCACAGTTCCACTCTCAACTGGACCCGAGAGAGCATCTCCCCCCCCTTCCTCCCAAAAGTCTACACTACTAAAACCTGTACTCTTATCTCCTGCCCCCAAAACCACAATTTCCATCAGATGCCCTCGACACACAACTCATTTAAGTGATTTCTTCACTGCAGCATGTTTAACCAAGGACTTCTGGTGCCAATGGCTGAGTTCTTCTGGATGGGGAAAGGACAAGTGTCAGAAGCAGGGTAATGGCTGGTTATCCTGGGTAGTTCTGTGTGCCTTTTATACAAGTATCTACATGGAGGATGACAGTTGCACGGCCAAAGAAACACGTTTGTGTAACTAGTACTGTTCACATATACCACGGACAAAGGGCAAAGTGATATCTACCAGATCTATTATTACTAGATGTTCACCACAGGATATAATGTATAACACAATATTAGCCCACAAAGAACAGTGATCACAAGAGGTGGAATACTTCAACAAAGGAACATTTACAGCATGTCGTGATTCATACTGAGTATCGTGATACTACTTCTGTTTCTTCGTAAGGTACCCCTGAACCATATGCACGTGCTGCACAAAGCAGCACAAATCTCAGGAAAATTTCCCTGCACAGGCATTAAGCTCCTAGGAAAGTAAGAGAGTGGGAGAGGAGCAGACCTCACAGATTTAAAGGAACATAGTCTTGTTTGAATTTGCTTTCTTCCCTTTCAGAATCCCAACCCATGGGAGGAGATTGTGCCACTGAGAAGTGATTTTGGCCAATAGGTTCTTACTCGTATTTTACTAACTCTTAAGTCTAAAATGCAAGAACCCTCCTAAAAGGCTAACACTGTGAACAATTTTAAAAACAAAACAAAACACCATGCTCTGTGCATTTTTAGAGAGACAGGCATCCTTTGGACTCTGGACTGCTCTGCTATCAATACTGAGAGCATCTCTGCTCTCTAGCCTTGGAATCTACAGTTCAACTCTCACATTTTGAGATTAAACCTCAGCAGTGGACTTAGCTTCCCATTTTATTTACTAGTCTTTCTATAAGTTGGTATCTGGCCACAAGTACAGTCACAGGTACAGGGAAATGTCTCATGCTGTGCTACTGTTGTACCTGGAGCAGGAACACTAAGAACACATATGGAAAATTTGACATGTATAAAAATCTAATCAGTACACAAAAAAAAAAAAATCCCTGTGAGGTAGGTAATCATCACCCACCTTTAAAGATGGGCAAACAGGCTAAAAAGATAAAATGACTATGCAAATGCCAGAGAGAGCACATGGAAAGGAGCTCAGGATTCTCAATCTCTTGGCTCTACGATCATACTTTTCAGCCCTTTCATTCTGCTTGCGACATTGCTACAATCCACCTTCACCTCTGTAATTATCAACAAGGGTATAAAAAGAAAAAGCAAGAAGTAAAGCAACATAAGCTAAGGCCAAGGAGCAACTCAAAGATTTGTTCCTTCCCCAAATAAAATCTTCTGGGCCCAGTTTTAGGCTGTGTGTTTCTCTTGCAGTTGTCTATGTGAACATGTTGGTCTCCAGCGCTGGTTGTGGGATGGGTGGCTGTGATTAGCCTTTTAGGAGGCTCATTTACACTGGTGCTCTCTCCTTTTCAGTAAGGTTTGTGCTCCCTAAGCTATAGTTGTCTGTACAGGGGAAGACATGGATGCAATCTGTTGTTTTTAACAGCAGAAGGAATTCCTCCATCAAAGTGCTGGGAAGGTGGAAGTTTAAAAAGAAACAGAATCAAGACAGTGTTGCACGCAACCCCATTACCTTCTGAAACTGCTTTTCTCCTCCATGGGAGGTGCTTTGTTCTCTAACAGTGGCTGATTAACAAGAATACTCCTCACCTTACTTGGGACCAAGGACTTTAGTGATATTCACAGGTAGATGGGATGTATGTCACCTGTCCCCTTGATGCAGAGAGTCCAACACAAACATCATTTCACAGCAAAGGAGAAAAGGGGTCTTTAGAAACAGCATCTTGGACAAGCATACAAAGAGGAAAATAAAAGCAGCCAAGCAGCAGATTTCTGGCAGAGTTGCCTCAGAGCTTCTGAACAAGCCGCCACTGTTCTGTTCCATGACTGTCAGTGCATGGCATGGATTTTTCTAATTAGACTGCAACAATCCGAGCCCTCTCCTCCCCCCCCTTCTGCTACCAGGGAAGGCTCACTGCAGCAGCTGCCTCCGTGGCAGATCTCAAAGTCTGTTTATAAAAGGAAATGGAGAGACAGAGATGGACTGGTCCGAAGTTAAAACCCAGTATCATAATATTAATCAATAATCATAGTATTAACAGTAAGAATGCTGCAGCCTAGTGGATGTAGGCCCTGTACACTGCAGACATGTCGTTGTCTGATTGGTCCAATGCTTTTGCTCGTTTATAGACCTAGAAAAGAGAAATTAGAAAAGGATCAGTGCCCACTCTTGTGCAAAGGCATTCTCCAGCACAAAAATTACTTTGCTGACCACTGCAAACCAGAGAGCTGCAGAATACATCAAGTAATTACAGCAGCGCAGATGAGAACACACCAGGTCTCGAGGCCATCTGTGTCTACTCATGTGACATTCTAAGGGCTTTTACAGTCAAAAGAAATCCAATTCCATCCCAGTCAAACTATTTCACTAATTGTTCTCTTGTCTTAGAGGCAACATAATTCTGATATTTTTGTCTCTTCTTGACAAAGGGCTCTGCTGAAGACGTGCTGAGCCAACACTGAACAACTCTCACCTCGTTGGCAGCAGCTGCCATGGGAGTCGGGTGGTTGACAGAATCGCCCAGTGCAATAGCTAATCTAAGATCCTTCTGTATGTATTTCAGGTAGAAATCAGGCTTGAAGTTTCCTTGCAAGATATCTGTGGGGAGGAACACATGCAAAAAATAAGCAAGACAGAAGTAAATCAAGCCTACACTGCAAGGGCATGCAATCCAACACCAAACTTCCCTTTCCCATGCTGATCACCAGGAACACTGCTTTTAGTTCTTCTGTGCTATCTTCATCTGGCCACAGCAGACATTGCAACTACTGCCCACTCAGCACAAAGGCAGCTCAGATTTCAAAGCACCTTGCCTGCCATTTCACTTATTACACTGCCCCAAGGAAACCCTCACTGCGAACTTGAGTCTTAAGCTGTAGGCAATGTGGAGCTTGGGGTGGATTCTCAGATACCCTGACTATGAAGGAGATGGAATGGAACTCAGCTCTTCATTTCCATCATCTTTAAAATACCCAGAATCCCAGGCTGATGAAGATGGGACGGTTATTTTCTCCCTTCTGCCATTATCTGAAACGCTGCTAGGTTGTGTCAAATGTCCTATAATAAAACAATGTAAGAGAACTTTACTTTGGCACTTCTGGTCCAGGAAGATGCTGGCAAGTTGTCCCTGATTGAGGATATCCAGAAGGGTCTGTTGGGACTGGCCAGTCACTTGAGCCAAAGTCAGTCCTTCTGCTATCGTTGCCATGAAGCTGCCTTGGACCATGTTCACAATCAGCATCATCTTGGCAGCATTGCCTACTTCACCTGGGAGTGAGACATACCATTGGCCATTCCTACAGAAGAGACACAGCAGCCTTGCTCCCCAATCCCACAGAGTATTAACACTACCAGACTCTTTGTATCAAGCACTTGGCAGCTCTCCCTTCCCCTAAAAGGGTTCAGAAAATTCACGTTTTCAAGCAAAAGGAGGAAGAAATCTTAACAAAGCACAATTCAAAACAGAAAGCATAATAGAACCTCTAAAATCTATCAGTATTCCAAACAGAAAACTTAGGCTCGAAGCTCTGATATTGGCCAAGTTCTAGAAGAGCAGGCCAGTTTCCCACACTGCACAAGGAGATAAGAAATAGGCGACACATGCTTCTTAGACTCCTCGCTGGAATTCCCTGACCTCGCACTAAGAAACTGCTGTCAGGCCCTTTGTGTTTCGATTACCTAGAAAAAAAGAGGTCTTCCCCATCGCTTGGAAACAGCTGCTGCAGTCCTCATATAAACCCCTGTCACCAGCTGCCAGGATCACAAGCATCCCATCGTTAGATAGCTGCTGATTTCCTGAGACCGGTGCTTCCAAAAAGCGACCCCCTCGGGACACTATCACCTGGAAAAGGAGCAGTGCCGGTTAGCTGTGCGCGCAGCACGCTGCCCCGCAGGCAGCGCAGCAAGAACGCTGTCCAGGGCATTCCCAGCCCCGAGGACAGAACCTTAAAGCAGAGCAAAGAGCTCAGGCATACGAACAGGACAGGAAAGCAGAGGAATGTCAGAAGATTGACTGTTATGGTATTTTCCCCCCTTTTCTCCAAAGAGGAAATGCCTTTGACACATCTCTTCAGCCAGAGGTTTACTAACATTCTCCAAATTCATGTGACACAGTACTGCACCACCAATACGTCTGCTTCAAACTTCAGCAAAACTAGCTCCCCTTCCCCCTGCAACAACACACATTGCCTTCGGGGCTGATAATGAGCAAGAAGCCCAAGAAGAAATCACAGATAACACATCAGAAATAAGAACATTTCTCAGAAACCCTCTAATTATATTTCTACAAAATGAAACACAAAGACATTCTTTTTCCCCAACCACAGCATTTAAAATAAGCAGATTATGCATTTTATCACTTTAAGGACTGTTATTAACCCAGACAGCACATTCTCCTCCAGTTTGCTATGGAATAGCCATCTGGTTATAAATACTTCTTAAGGGATCAAAACTTGTCTGGCTGTTTGCACTGGTGCAAGCTAACAGCCCTGCCAAATATACAGGCTTCCTGCCAGGGAACATCTCATCCAACTTTGCCAGTCAAGATTGGACAGTTTATTTTGTCTTATTTGCCTGGGACTTGAATATATCCTAAAAGGAGCCCAATGAATCTTCAGAAGCATCTTTATCATCAACCGC